TGTTCTCATTTCTAATTTTTTTTTCAAAGATTCTTTCTATTGACAATGACTAAGAAACTTATATTTCTATATAAGTTGAGATGTGTCATTCAAAAACAAAATAAGACATTGGAAATTAACATGTTGACTGCCAGAGGTCAATTATGAAACCTGACATCAAACACTAAGTTTATAATATGAAACAATATTTTTTTGAGTTGATCTACAGAGGGGTGGCCAAACCGCAGCTCACAAGCCACATGCGGCTCTTTGAGCTTTAATGTACAGCTCATGGAAATATGTTGGCAGAGTTCCATTTTAATCAGTTAATATGAAAGGGTAAATAAGAAAAATTTCAAGCTTTATAATTATTTACTGGGTATGAATTGAGATCCCATTGGATTAAAACACAAGTTTAATGTTAATATGTATGTAACAAAAACTTTGCAAATTTTGTTCATGTCTTGTAGCTCTCAAACATCTGAACTTTATCATATGTGGCTCTTACCTATAAGCAAGTTTGGCCACCCCAGATTTATAGCTTCAGCTGAAGTCTTAGCATCTTTTTCACACTAAAAGTATCACTGAATAAACTTCTTGTTGGCAGATGGAAATGTATCTTTGAGAATACCAAGCATGAGATAACTCCTAGTCAAAAAAAAAAAAAAAATCTGCCAATCAAAATCTCATGTTTGGTTTTAAGGTCAACAGTTCTTAAATTAAAAAGTTAATTTTATAAGTTAATTTTTTTTTCCCCAATTTTCAAAGTAAATATATCATCAGGATAAAAGTCTCGCTCAAAAATAAATATAAAATTCAATCTCAAATATGAATAGCATGTATTTTACTAAATTCAATGACTAATGAAAAAAAGTTTTGAAAATAACATCACTTCACATACTCAACATTTATATCATACAGAATTTACCTACTTGTTCATTGGAATTTGTCTTCTATTAAAAAAAAGTTAGAAATTTACTAGTTGCTCCTAATTTAGGCTTCATGAGAAAATGGAAACAAAAAGGAAACTAATACTTAACATCAGGAAGAGACAGGTGATATTTCTAGGGCACATAATGAGGTGGGAGGGCTTGGAAAATCTGATACTCATGGGACAGAGTAAAACAATGCATAACATCCTTACTGAGCTCAAGTAAATGGATGGCAGAACAGGTTTAGGAGAAATAACAGAAATTCAAAGTTTATTAACTACAAGAGACAGGAAATTGTGGAGAGCCATGATCACCTTAGCAATACTAACAAAATCAGTTAATTGCACCAGATTATTTGGGATTAAACAAGATTATGGTCACTAATAACTATATTGCTGTGGTTAGACTTCAGGCTAAATCTGTCTATATTTCAGATATTGTAATTTACACTATTTACATTGTTCAAACTTTTGTCATCTTCATTGCCATATTCACAACGTTTTGGCCATTGTATGCCCCCAGCTTTCTTCAGATGATTGGAATTTCAGGCTAAATATTTTTACTACTTTAATAAGTAGCAATAAATATCATTACAAAGGAAAGACAAAAGATAAAGGAAATATTTGAAGTTGCAGAAATAAAGAAAAATACCTAATTACCAACATTTTAAGAAAAATGTTCATACCTATTAGGATGAGATGTGGGCAAGAGAAATTTAAATTCAACCACACACAGGCCATTGGTTAATTCATAGTGACGTAAACACACCAGTTCATATGCAGTATAAGCTCGGCGGACGTACACCTACAAAAACAAAAGCCTAGACTTTATATGCGAACTTTCAACAAATCAGAAAAAATTATTATAATCAATCCAATGAACATCTGGAATTTTGTTTCTATTTCACGAAATAGATTTGCCCCTTAGCAAGATTTAATTTTGGTTTCAACACTGATTTATTCTCTAATATCACATTTATTTTAATATATAAATTGGAATCTACAAGTTCATAAACAAAAAAAAAAAAAAAAAAAAAAAAACAATTATGTTAAACAATATTTTACTGGTTCTATTTTCTCATTTAAAGTAATTTTCATACCAAATTTTGGTACACAACATAAATGAACACTTTCCATTTGTCTTATTCAAGAGAACAAAAGTGAGTTTCATTTTATCTTCAGCTGGTTCTCTTAAATTTTACAACAGCCAGCCTTTGTGATAATTTTCACACACACTTTTTTCTTTTAAATTATATTCAGTAAATATCCTTTTAAAAATTTGAACATATATCAAAATATTTATCTATACAAACCAGCAGTGTATTTCCCCCTACCCCAATATTACCAACATTTTTTGTGAATTGTTTCTCCAGTAATTTTTTAAATTTCGTTCCAATTTAACTGAATAATGTTTTATTCTTAACATCTTTTAATAGATGACATCAGTTTTATTTCTATAGATACATTGCATGATATTAAAAACTAAAAGCAAGGACAATGATCCTTAACCTTTATCACTCTGTATGTGATTTTATTTGCAGTACAAAAAGCTTATCCTGACAATGTCACTGAACAATAGTGTGTTTGAATTTAATATCAGGTCATCCCATAAGTTCTGTCCGAATTTTAGCTTTTTTTTTTTTTAAAAAGAAAAAAATTTAAAGAGTATTTTATAATGTCTAATGGAGCTGAACATTATTTTTATGTTTAGATGCATTTAAACTGATCAAATTTTATTTCAGAGAACAATAAAATTAAATTTTGTTTGATTAAAACCCTGCTAACATGGAAGTACCCAAGAATCATTTGAGGCACATAATGCTTTATGAGTTCAAGAAAGGAAACTCAGCAGCTGAAGCAGCTAGAAACATTCACTCAGTTTATGGAGAGGAATGTGTGAATAAAAGAACTTATAGAAGATGGTTTGCAAAATTCAGAGGTGGAGATTTCACCCTTGAAGATGAAGATCAAACCGGACATCCAGTTGAGTTTGATGAAAAGCTTCTTGAAGCAGTCCTTGAAGAAAATCCTGTTTTATCAGTTGAGGAATTGACAGTGGTTCTCAGTTCAAACCATACAACTGTTCATCGTCATCTTCAACAACTTGGAAAAGTTCCTAAACTTGGAAAATGGGTGCCTCATGAATTGTCTGAAAATAACCTCAAATCCCAAGTTGACATCTGCTCTTCTCTCCATTCTCGCCAACTTGCTTCACCTTTTTTGGATAGACTTATGACTGGCGACAAAAAAAAAAAATGGATCTTTTATCGAAATGTTAAGCATCATAGAAGGTGGCTTGGTAAAGGGGAAGGACCCCAGCCACAGCCGAGAAGGGAACTTCATAGGCAAAAGGTTCTTCTTTCAATCTGGTGGGATCGCCAAGGAATAATCCACTTTGAATTCTTACCACCTAATGCAACAAATAATGCTCAAATATACTGTCAGCAATTATAGCATTTGAACCAAGCTTTGAGGAAAAAAAGACCTGCTCTAGTGAATTGAAAAGAGGTGATGTTTCATTAGGACAATGCGCGACCACACACAGCAAGAATCATGTCATAAAAGATCGAAGAACTTGGTTGGGAGAAAATTCCTCATCCACCTTATTCTCCCGATCTTGCTCCTTCAGACTACCATTTGTTTCGTAGCTTACAGAATCATTTGGAAGAAACAGCTTTTGTAAGACAGGAAGAGGTTAAAACTGACATTTGTGAGTTCTTCGAATCAAAGCAAAAAGAATTTTACAGTAATGGAATTAGTAAGCTTGTTAATAGATGGAAGGAAGTCATAGATAATCAGGGAAAATACATTGATTGAATCTGTAATTAAATGTAACATTTGGTCACTTGTTTCCTTTATTCAAAATTCTGACAGAACTTATGGGATGACCTGATAGTTTCTAAGGCAATAGAAAACAACCGAGTGAAATTAACAATAAGGATACTGCAAATAAGAGGCCTTGAAAAAGAATACAGTGGAAAGTTATAATAATAATGCAGGTTAGTACAGTTAGAAAAAACAATGAATGTAGCCTTTTGCAAAGTTCTGGAAAATTAAGGTTAATATAAATTTCTAAATGGATGAACCAGTTTAAAATTGGCTATTACTTTCCTGTTTTATTGAAATATGAATATAAATGATAAATAAAAAATTTAAAATAAAAAAAGAAAATAAGCCTACCTCCAATGCTGCTGTTCTCACCAAAGAGTTTAAGTGGAAAAAAAACTCTTGTAGTACATCATAAATAGCAGTTTCCGAGTTAATTAGTTTCTGCAAATTTAAAAAAAATAAAAAAATAAAAAAAATAATAATAATATACATTAGAAAATGATGTTAGAGGTAATTTTAAATGAACAAAAAAAAAAAAAAAAAAAAAAAAATTTCTTTTTCAATTATGACCGACAACAATGCAATAAAAAGAAAAACAAATAGAGAAGCTCATGCATAAAGACTAGAAAGCTACCCAGATTTTATTAATTATTTTCTTTTGTTAAATAAAACTTCATCTCATTTTAGTCTATCATATAAAAATGAAGTAAAAAGTAAAATATGAATATGGTTAGGAGACATGTTCCACAAAATTAAACCTTCTTCCTCAGTTTTCTTAACTAAGAACCAATGTGATATATCTGATGGTTTGTTTTGGTTTGTATGGCTATCAACCTCAATAGGTTATTTAATGCCGACAAGATTTTTATTGCTGGTAATTTTTTTTATATTTTTTTTTAATAATAATTTGCTAATACATATCCTGCTAATTGACCCATCCACACAAGTGAATATAATAAACCTGACTGGAATTGAAACTCATCTCTTCAAGTTCCAATTCTGATTATACAGGCTTATGCTTCAGTGTATTAAAATGAGTTTTACAAAAACATCATAAGCTAGTTCTTGGGATACCAGTGTTATAAACTACTTAATCTTCCTACTTTTTTGTAAGTCTACCATATATATATATATATAGAGAGAGAGAGAGAGAGAGAATAAGAGGTGGGTGACTTTTTTAAGTGAATCAATTGAACATTGTATAGCCAACAGGACATGTTAAATTTGGCTCTTACAGGTCTACTGTGCAAATCAGGCTCACAGCGATATCACATTGAAACACCAGTTCTCATATGATCACCAAAGTTAAGCAAAATAGAGCCTGGTCAGTGCCTAGATTGGTGACTTCTTGAGAATACCAGGTGCTGTATTTGTTTTTGTTTAATGGCATATCAACTCCTAGTG